GGGCGCATCGCTGAGGCGCGAGGGTGCGAGAACACCAAGGGGAATGCGAACCTCTCGCCCTAGGGTCCGCGGCCCAGAACGGCCTTGAGCCCGATTCTGAAAACGGAGCATGCAGTCAGACCGCGTCGGTTTCAAAGCTGCGTCGCCGAGCATTCCAGGATGCCCCGAAACGCCGTCGCTCTGAGAGGTCTGCCCCGAGACCTCCGAGTTCGATCTTACATGGAATTTCGAGTCGCCCACGGTGCTGCTAGCGAAGAGAAGCTCCTCCGGAGGTGTCTGTGGAGCATTACTTAGCGAGGCAGAAAAAATTCGAGTTCCCGAAGACTCCATCAGGCTCGTAGAAAACCCCCCTGGGCCCCCGACGGCAGGGCCTGGGCACCCGACGACGCGACCTGAACCTCTCCCGTACTCAGCGGTCTCGCGGAAGCCCCCGCGGATCCCCTGGCGGCCCTTCTCGAGCAAGTAGACGCAAAATCGCTTCCAGGAGTCATCCGGGTTGTTCCTGGCGTCGGCTCCTCGGGGCCCGACTGTCTTACTGGCCCTTGTTGGGCCCCCGCCGTCGTCCAGAGAGCCGTTTCAGACCCCGTTGGGTCGCCATCAGATGCCTGGCAGAAGGACGAGCGAGACGACGCACGAGGAGGCGATGAAGAGATGATAGATGGAGCAGCGGCTGGCGCCATCGCGTCTGAGCCCTCCAGCGCCGGCGCCCGCGCCGGCCCAGAAAATGCTGCCACGCCCCGACTCAGAATGCAATCGGCCGGCCTCTCGGCGGCCTCGCCGTCGCCCAGCAGGTCGCGCGCCAGGTCGAGATGAGGTGGCCAGTCCGTGACCTCTGGAAAGTGATCAGCCTCTGGCGGTTGATCATCTCGAAGACGCCGACGCCAGCTTCGAAGCCGACCGGCGCTCCGAAGGAGTTCAGCGTCTCGGTGCACCAGGATCGGGATGCCTGGAGCGTCCGCGGCGCTCACCCGAAAGCTCACGTAGGTATCCTTGACAAGTCGCTTGAAAGTGGCCATGCGCAGCGCGCGCGTGACCTCGCCGTTCCCAAACTTGTACACTGGGCGGTCGTTCAGGTCCACCTCTATCGGCGGATGGCCCCTCGCAGTCGGGATCTCATTCAGGTTCTCGGTCGCCTCCGCGCTGCCGATGGTCTTCGTGGCCCCGCAGTCCACGATGTCGTGCCCCGTCTCCGTGGTGCATGGCACGACGTGCGCCATCTCCACCTCAGGGTCGCCGGGATCTATGGCGCGCCCGACGTCCTCGACCTCCGCCGAGTCATCGCCCTCCGCCGAGCACAAGAGCTCTCGCATCAGGATGAGGCCGTTGAAGCGTTCTCCGCCATCTGCAGGTCGAGAGCCTTGCCCGCGCCCACCCGATAGCTTGTCATCGCACCTGTCAGGACAGGCTCCTGTGCGGCGTCCGCCACCGCACTTGAGGCATGGCGCCAGGCGTCCGTCAATGCGCCCAAGACCTTTACCTCCGAAGAACTTCCGGCCCATCCTGTGCGTGTTGATATGCTGCCGGGCGTCCTGTAATCGGCGCTGGCTAGCCTGATAGTGTACATATGCTTCTTCTTGAATCGCGTCGACGTGCGCCTCATCATGGCATCCACCGTCTCCTTCCTCCTCGATGGGCTCAGTCGCCAACGCAGCGCCCTGACTTGCCTCAACACTCCAGGTATGCGCGTCCTCTTACGTAGAGCGCGGCGGCCGCCACCTGCTGGCGTATAAGCTATGACTTGCGGTAGTTCATACCATTGACGCTCTCGTCGCTACGCCACTGCGTCCGCAGTGCACCCACCTACGGTCTCCACGGGGAATTCTCCACAACAGGAACCAATCACTGCCGCGATCTCGCCACCGCCGACTCCAGCACAATGCAATAGAAACCAGCCGCGCACAATGCTCGGCAACACCTCTGGCAAGTCCCGCGTCGGGAACGTGTTCTGGCTTCTGCTGTCGTATCCGTGTTTCCACCATTGTTGAGACCACCGACTTTGCTGTCGCCACCAGTTGTCATTCGGCGCATCCCACTCACGGACTTCATCCAGCTCCCGATCGTCAGTGGTGCCCTCTTCGCCACCTGTGATACGATGCCAGGAACCTTCCCCCGAATTTGCCCTGGCCTCCGGCCAGTGACTGCAGCTGGTAGCCTGCGTAGCTGGTGCGTCTCGACTCTGATGATCCCGCCATGCGTGACAATGCCAACCGTAATCGTTGGCAACAATCGTGGACCCCGAGGCAGTACTCAGCCATACCCTCACCGCGTCTCCTGCGCAATTTCACACGTACTTCTCCATGTAGTGGCCCACGTCCTCGACAGGCTGCCGCATCACATTCTTCTGAAGGAACTCCAGCAGCTTGTCGGCACCCCACGTCGACGACAGCCAACCCCGAAACTGCCCGATCCGAGCTGTCGCCGCCAGTCCGGACAGACGTGCGACCAGCCTAGAACCGCGCAAGTATCTGTCCTCCCAGCTAGTGTCATCCACGTAATTCATCACATCCTGCTGGTACCGTTTTCATGTTCCAGCACTGCCTTTGCAGCCAGGAATCCTGGCTTGCTTGTCGGAGCAGAAAATTGCTCCGCTATCATGCGAAGCGAATCTTCACACGCAGCTCTCTTTCCACCTCGCCGCCGGCAATGTTCCCGCCAGTTGTACTCACTCTCGAGACGTCCTTCGTCGTCTCGGTCCGCGCAGCACGTCACCGCACAATCTGGGAGATCGGAGGTGGGGGGGTGAGATCGAAGTGGAACGGAGAGACCCCCAATGGGAAATCGGTTTCGGTTTCGTGTTCGTGCGTGCCGCGCGTGCGGGCGAGGCGAAGCTGCGTGGGCGGGCGAAAAGAAAGCCTCCTGTGGCTGAGGCGCGGCCGGACCAAATGATTCCCTTCCAGCGTCCGGTGGCGAGCGGTGTCCTGCCAGTGTCCGGCTGTAGCTGAGGCGCGGCCGGACCAAATGATTCCCTTCCGGCGTTCGGTGGCGCGCGGTGTCCCGCCGGTGTCCCGCCGGTGTCCTGTCGGGGTCCCGATGATGACGGTGATGATGATGCCGATGATGTTGATGATGATGATGATGGTGGTGATGATGATGTCCCGATGATGATGGTGATGATGATGACAATGTTGGTGATGATGATGATGATGATGATGATGATGGTGATGGTGGTGATGGTGATGGTGTCCCGATGACGATGATGTTGATGAAGATGATGTTGCGGATGATGATGATGATGATGTCCTGATGATGATGATGATGATGATGATGATGATGATGTTGATGATCCTGATGTTGATGATGATGAGATGATGATGAGTTGGTGATGAAGGTGATGATGATGATGGGTATCCCAATGATGATGGTGATGATGAGATTGATAATGATGCTGTTGATGGTGATGGTGATGATGATGATGGTTCCCCGATGATGATGTTGATGATGATGATAATGTTGACTATGATGGTGACAATGGTGGTGTCCCGGTGATAATGATGATGATGATGATGTGGATGATGAGGATTCTGATGAGGTGATAACGATGAGTTTGATGATGGTGGCGCGATGATGATGATGCTGATGTTGATGATGCTGATGGTGTCCCGATGATGCTGATGATGATGGTGATGATGATGGTGACGATGATGATGGTGTCCCGATGATGATGCTGATGTCGATGATGATGCTGATGGTGATGATGATGGTGTCCCGATGATGATGATGCTGTTGATGATGTTGTTCATGAGGATGATGTAATGATAATGATGATGACCATGAGGATGGTGGCGTTCCGATGATGATGATGATGGTGTCCCGATGATGATGCTGTTGATGATGATAGTGGCGATGATGGTGTCCCGATGATGATGGTGATGCTGGTGATGATGATGATGTTGATGGTGATGAGGTGATGATGATGATAGTGTCTCGATGATGGTGATGGCGATGATGTTGGTGACGTTGATGACGATGATGTTGATGCTGATGATGATGACGTTGGTAGGGAGATCGATAGTGAGACCGAATGTGAGATCGATAATGAGATCGATTGTGATATCGATAGTGAGATCGATTGTGATATCGATAGTCAGATCGATTGTGAGATCGGTCGAAAGAAATAGATCGAGCGAGATCGATTGTGACATCGGTCGAGTGAGATCTATCGAGCGAGACCGATAGTGAGATCGATAGTGAGATTGATAGTCAGACCGATCGAATGAGACGTTGGTTCCTGCCCCCCCGAACCTCCTTATCACCCGAAGGGTGGTCGTATAGGTAGGATTTAGAGAAGTGGAGATGGTATGGTATTGGGCTCTTGAGTAGAAGGTAGGAGAAAGGTGGGGCCTCTCCAGGCTCTGAGGCACTGCTGGTCCTCGGCAAAGGCCTGTAAGCAAGACGGCTGTGGATAGAGCGAACTCAAAAAAATAGTATGACGCCAAGATCGGTAGATCGACACCCTCCCCCTCCCCGCCTACACCCTCCACTCCTCCCCCAGGTAAGGATTTCCTCACCCAAGTCATCTCTACCTCTACCTGCCCTGCTCGCGAGCTGCATGGCACGCGCGCGCGTGAATGCCGTAGACTAGGAGAGGACCTGGAGCCCGAAGCACGAGGCCATCGAAAAAGTGGTAGAGATCGGGGAGAAGCCAAGCACTCCCTGTCTCCCTCCTCGGGAGCATGAACTTACCATCTCACCGATCCTGGCCAGGCCCATCCTGGGCCCAGTATCGGTGTATACGCCCTCCTGGCGAGGCGAGGGAGGCGTAGACATTGGTCCTGGGATCAGGGGGAGCCCGGCCAGAACCGGTGAGGTGGTCAATTGACGAACGGTCTCCCGAGTGGCCCACCATCCGACCCAATCCTTGTCTGGCTCACTTCTGTGCTTCGTGGACTTTTCAAGCCGCGCAAGCGCGCCAGGCGAAACCCAATGATGGTCGACAAGCCCGCTCTCCCGAGCACTCACGCGCAGCAGAAGGGCCGAGTGCGCTGCAGCTGTTCGCGCGCCTCGTCGACTTGCTCGGCGAACTTCTGCGTCACAAGGGCATCGGTCTTGGCTGGCTCCATGCAAGTAAAAACCAGCTCCACCTGCAAGCGCGCCCGAAACCGCCCTCTGCGCTGGGCCGCCCTTTATCCAATCACACTGCCGGAATATCGTTCCAGAACCCGAGAAATATGAAGGCCACTGGCGATCTGCACTGCGTGTTTTGGTGATGAGGGGGGGAGAGAGAGAGCGAGAGAGAGCGAGAGAGAGACCGAAAAAAAGAGAGCGATACTGACAGAGAGAGAGAGAGAGAGAAATCAACAAAAACAGATACCAAAAAGCCCGTCGCTCCCCCACACAATGTTTCCACGTAAGGATTATGGTCCGGCAGGCTTGATCGCAGCCCGTCGCCGCTGAGCCCAAGCGGCGGTCTGGACGCCAGCTCTTCGCTGCCCATCACCGCGTTGCTTCCATTGCTTCGCATTGCTCTGCGTTGCTCCGCATGTCTTCACATTGCTGGACATCGAATTACATGTCTGTGTATTGTCTCGTATTGCGTTGCATTGGTTCGAATCGTACTACATCGTTTCGCATTGCTTTGCATTGCGTTATGTTGCCTTGCGGGGCAGTGCGATGCATCGGGTTGCATTGCTCTGCGTTGCTGTGCATAGCTTCGCATAGGTTCGCAATGTTGCGCATTGCCTTGCGACTATTTCAACGAATTTCGAGCGTAGCCCGAATTTGTTTCTCGCGAAGTCAACTCCAACTGACTGAATGACTGACCAAAACCAACTGCCTGGTCGCACCCGTTACGCGACAATTTTATTCTCGGCGGCCGAAGGCGCAACCTATGGCGCAACCGACAGGAGCCGGTTTTATTATCGGCGGCCGAGGGCGCAACCTATGGCGCAACCGATAGGAGACGGTTTTAGTCTCAGCGGCCGAGGGCACAAACTATGGCGCAACCGATCAGAGACGGTTTTATTCTCGGCGGCCAAGGGCGCAACCTATGACGCACCCGGTAGGAGACGGTTTTACTACCTTGCACAAGGCGTCTAGAGCTCCGACAACTTTATTTAGCGTCGCACCGCACTCCCTCCTGCCCAGCCCCCCTCCTAGCCCTCCACAGCGTGTCCCAACTGCCCAGTGAAACCTCTGCACAGTGCCCCCTCCGCCCCGACTTTTCTATTTCGCGTCGCACCGCGCCCGCCCCTCCTCCCCGCCCCTCTCCCGCCCCTCCTCCGCCCACCCTTTGCCCGCCCCGCCCCCATCCCACCACTCCCAAGCGTTCCCCAGTGGCCCAAAGGAACCTCCGCCCAATGCCCCCTCCGCCCCGACCACTTTATTCCGTGTCGCACCGCGCCCGCCCCCCCTTCCCGCCCCCCACCCCTCCCCGGATCCCAGCCCCGCTCCTGCCCGTCCCCCTCCGCCTCGACCAATTTATTCAGCGTCGCACCGCACCCCCCCCTGTCCTGCCACTCCCAGGCGTTCCCCAACGGCCCAGTGGAACCTCTGCACAGTGCCCCCTCCGCCCCGACTATTTTATTTCGCGTCGCACCGCGCCCGCTCTGTTTCCCAGCGACCCAATTGCACCTCCGCCCCGACAAGTGTAAGTCCGCGTCGCGTCGCCCCCCCCTGCCCATCGCTTCCCCGCGTCCCAGTGGAATCACCGCCCAATGGCCCCTCTGCCCCGACCACTTTATTCAGTGTCGCGTCGCACCACTCCTCCCTCCCCAGCGTTCCCCTGCGCCCCAGTGGAACAGGGCATCGATGACAAGTTGTCGCACCAGGTTTGCAATTTGTGTGGTGTCGGGTCCTGGTTTGACCCGCCCTGAGTGGGATTTGAGCGGTGAGAGCGGGCGCCCAAGTCGGAACCCTTTGAGCGGAACACGGCCAATACCTATGCCTAACATTCATAATCATGGACCAGCAAGGAATGTATGCAAGTTCACCCTTGGAAAACTGCTCATCTTTACGACCAGAAAGCTCGAACACACACACACACACACACACACACACACACACACACACACACACACACACACGCATGGCTGATTTTACATATGGAACTGTCAGAGGCCACGCCTTTGACTGGATACACATAAGATGTGGAAGCCCAACGTCCACCCGTTCGTCCACAGAAGAGCCGAGCGACGGGACTGCATCTGGCCACGTGTGTATCCAATTCTCGCCCAGGCTGGCCACGTCAGATGTGTTCAGCTTCACAGTGCAAGCTTTGACTGTACTCTTCCTACCCCTCCTCCTGATCCAGGTGCGAGGGAGGCGGCTCGGGCGCCCGCCGTGCACAAGGCGGAGCTCTGGGTCCGCCCAGTCACCACGTAGGACTCAGCGCTGGCCTGATCCGACAAGGCAGCATCTTCCCCCCCTGATGCTGCAACGGCTCCTGCTGCTGCAACGGCTGCGTGTGTTGACTACATGTGTTGCTGGTGCTGCTAGGCAATGCTGCTGCTGGGGAGGCTGGCGCTGATACTGCGAATGCTGATCGTAACTGCTGAGGCTGCTGCTAATGATTCTGAGATTGCGCAGTGTATGCTGCTGAGTGGTGCGGCTGCTGCTGCTAGCTGTGGCTACTCCTGCTGCTTGTAGTTCTGCACATGCTTCTGAGAACACCGATTGAACTGCCTGAGATGATGCCGCCCAATGTTGGTACGTACTGCTGCTTGCTGCTGCCACTCATACTGATGGTACACCCAATTACCGTGTAGCCATTGAAACATCAAATGTGAATGGCACGACTGCTGCTACACCGCTGTCACTGCTGCACCTGAGCCTGCCGACGGCAACCCAACCTCTGCAAACGCATCCAATTTTCCTGATTTAGCTCGTGGTGGCGCTAATGTTTCCGCTATCAGTGCAAATACTGCTACAAATACTGCTGATACTGCTGCTGACACTTTCTACGCATGCTGGAACTGGTGCTGTGAAGGCTGCCGTTACTGCCGCGAGAACCACCCCTACTGATACCGGCTACTGTTTCGCTGCTGGCTGCACTGCCGACACAGCAGCGCGTGCGGACGCTTCCTTTGTTGCTGTAAGCTGGTGGCGCCACTGCTTCTGATACTGGTCCCTCTACTGGTGCATTTGGACATACTGACTGCTGCTGCCACTACACTGCTGCATCTGGTCATCATAAACATGATGACACTGATGATGTGTGTAATGATGCTGCCGTTGGTCCAGGTACTGCCTCCACTGCCACTCTGAACCTGTTTCTGCTGTTGCCCAGACAGTTCGGTGAAACTTTGTCCGGTGAATTTGTTGACGGACTGTAGGAGGGTTCGTGGCTGGGGCGCGGGTCGCCCTAGCTGCCTTTTCAGACGGCAGCCCGCCCGTCTTGTCGGCATAATCTGCTGAAGCTGCTTTCCCTCATCAAACCTGGATGCCGGAACCCACGCCGTGGACTGCTGGAACCGCTGCCCCTCGTAGAGATTGGGTGCTGGAACCCACCCTTCTTGAGGGGATATTCTGCTGGCACGACTTTCCCTTGTCGCCATTGGGTGCTAGAACCCACGCCGTGGGCCGCTGGAACCACTGTCCCTCGTAGACATTGAATGCTGGAACCCACTTCTTGACAGGATAATCTGCTGGAACAACTTTCCATTGTAGAAACTGGGCGCTGGAGCCACGCCCCGTCTACGTAGGGCTTTAAAACATACGTGAGGTCGGGGTGAACAGGGCCTAGGGGTAGGTGTCCTAGCATTGTAATCACGCCTCGCCCTCAAACAGGGGCAGTCCGCGTGCACGTGCGCGCGTGCGCGTGCGCGCGTGCGCGCGTGCGTGGCGTGTGCGCGAGCGTGCGCGTGTGCGCGTTCATGCACGTTCGAGCGCGCGTGCGTGTGCGCGTGCGCATTCGTGCACGCGCGCAAGCTCGGTCGCGAGCGCGAGTGCGAGCCCGAGCGCGAGCCCGACCCCAAGCGCGAGCTTAAGACCGAGCCCGGGCCCCATCCTGAGCGCGTGCGTGTGCGTGCGCACGCGCTTCCGATATGTTGACATGCACTAGGCAATTTCACTATCAACAATATCCGCCTGACTGTAACACGGATGGTGTTGCTTATGCTACTGCTGCTGCTGATCTTATGAATGCTGCTACTGTTGCTGCTGCCTGCTGCTGCGTGAGCGGTGCGACTGCGAACTTTGCGGAACTGCTGCTACTACTGATACTCATGATGCGGCTGCTGCTGCTGGTCCTCATGTAACCACCGCTGATGAGACCGCCGATGCTGCTAAGCTGCTGGAACTGCTGATGCAGCCAATGGTGTTACTTCTCCGAAACGGGAGCGTGGCTGGCGCCAGTGGCGAGAATAAACGAGTGAACACCAAGGTAAAGGGATGCAACCGACGCCTCTGCGAACACGTCAATCCGAGGCAGGAGCGTGGCTACCACTAGTGCGGGACACCCTCAGGAGAGCAGCCGGCGCCAAAGTCAAGATCGTCACTCCGAGGTAGGATGGTGACCAGCGCAAAAGCCACAACACCACTCCGAAGCAGGAGTGTGGTTTCCGCAACTGCAGCCGCCACGAACCTCAACTCCAAAGCATGAGCGTGGCCAGCACAGAGGCAAGAAAACTCATCTCGTGTAAAGAATCTGGCTGCCGCTCGCGAGACAGCTCCACTCCAAGGCTGGAGTGCGGCCGGCACAAAATGAAAGCACCACTCCTAGGAGTGTGGCTGGCGCAGAAGCGAGAGCACCACTCCGAGGGTCTAAGGCGGCTAGGCACTTGTATGACAGCACGTTTCCGAGGCAAGAATACGGCCGGCGTTGCGATCGAGGTATCTTATAGCGCGTATAGATGAAGCCAGAAATGATGTCACATTGACCAGACCCTTTCGATTCGGATGGCTCACGAAGGCTACTGATGGCCCAAGTAAGACGCCAAGAGAGCCTCATTCTAGCCATAGAGCAAAATCCCTTTGAAACACGCTGCAAACAAGGACCCCATCACACCTCAACCCTCAATGGGGATCCCTGGATGGTTCTACCGAGCCTCTTGGTGAGACTTCGGTAGAGCCATCATGCCCAAGATGGCGCCGATCCCACCGAGAAGCCTGTAAGAGGCGCCCGGAGGCCTCCCAACGGCCCCTGGAACGGCAACACCAGCCTGAGCGCGCGTCGATGCGTTGATTGGATTGCCGCGGCCGGCTGGATCGGGCCGAGGAGTCGAAGGGGGCTGATCTCCGCTTCCTCTCCCCTCCCACTCCCCCTCTCCCTCGTTCCTCCAGGCGCGCGTCTGGGCTGCGGGCTGCCTTTCTCTTGGTATCCGCGGCCTGTTTCCGCCCTGATATGTTGGTAATCGCGTATCGAATCATTGCGCTCGACTTATACGACTGCTCGTCTTTTTTGCTTCGTAGCAGCACTCGTATTCAACCTCATCGTTCTCCATTTGGGCTGAAGGGGCCCTGACATACCATTGGCAGCCAGGAAAGATGGCGACCGTGGTTCATGGCGACTGTGTTTCAAGGGGCGATTGGACTCAACACGAAACAACAAAGCACTGGAACACAACGCATCAGCGCGCACGCTCGCGGGCGATCGCGCCCCCACGTGTGCTCCTGGCGGGGGGCCCCACGTGCACTCAATGGAGCAAAACAAAAAACGCCTGCGCGACGAACTTGGCCGAAACGTCCGTGTGGCGCGGGCGCGCACTAGCGGCGCAAGACGCGCGCTCGTGGCGCCGACCCGCGTGCAACCAAAAGCGATCAACGGACGCGCCGACAAAGCCGGCTGCCAACTCTTGGTGCCGTGCTGTCACTAGCAGAGCGGTGCTCTCCGAGGAGGCGGCATCCGCGTCGTCGCGCTCGTCGGCCACAACCGTCGATCGCCAGCGCTCCCGGTAGACGCCGTGCGCGAGTTTGCATCCATAGGAGTTGTTGCGGTTGTGGGCCAACAGTGACGCGACGAAAAAAGCAGGTACGAAGCAACGAAGGGCAACTGCAAAGCAAAGCAAAACAACGACAAGTCAAAAGACATAACATGAAACTTCGGATGTACAACAAGTGAAATGCAATGAATTGATGCGAGACGCATTGCAAGTAAACTCGGCAACGCAATCAAACGCGCACACACGTAGTTTGCCCTACGCTTGAACTGTTATTTCAACGTCTTGTCGATGTGTCTTTAGCCTGGACACGGGCCCTGCCGACAAAACATCCTGACCTCCGAACATCACCCCCTCCTGGCCCAAGAACCTCAGAGGAGGGTCCTTGACTGGCTAGGTGGCTAGACTCTGATGAGCTGATCCAAGGGGCTCTGGGGCACTTCAGACTCCAGAGGCAGGGAACAGAAACTGATTTGGGATTGGCTAGGCCAGTTGGCCTGATCCCCCACTAGCCGAGGGGACCAACAAGAGGCTCTCTGACTGACCAACTCCCCCCGTCAAGTCCTCCGCGGCCAGCTTGCCCGAGATGATCCCAGACGTGGGGTCCAGGTACAACCTGGTCAGCGGAGGAAATGGGGCTGAGGACAGATGGCGAAGATGACCAGGAACCAGTAATAGAGGAGAAGCGGGAGGAGGCAATGGACGAGGCAGATGCAACATGGGGGGGGGAAACGAGCATGCGGATTTAAGACAAGTGGGAGGGCACGCTATATGCTGGGGGACATGCCACTCAGAGGGGGGGGGGACATGACGACGGCGGGGGGAACCAGGAGACCAAGGTCCGAAATCGGGGGGCACCATGCTGCACAATCTGGTGATTATGTCTGTCCCTTCAAATCGGCATTCGCGTCGAATCCTCGGCGGATGTCCGAAAGACACTTCGAGTCGACGCCGAAACCGCGTCCGACAAAAGAAATAACCCGAGGGGCCTTAACAAAACAACCTGATGGCCATGAGGTTGAAGAGGCGGGAGAAGGTTTAAAGCAGCCAGGACAGGGGTGAGAGCAGGGCCGTGTGCACCTTAGTGCACTTGTCCCAACCACCCTGTGGTGCTCGGTCCTCGTTTTGATTTATATATATATATATAAAACAAAAAAAAACGCTCCGCGTCCTCCTCTCCCCCCTCTCCTACTCCCCCGCCTCCTCCGTTTCCTTCTCCCTCCTCGCTCCTCCCTCCTGTTAGTGTTCCAACGTGTGTTTTCGGATCAGAGTGATTTAACCATCATTGTTACGGATAGTCGATCAACGTTCAAACATGTCTCTAACAGCTACCCCATGGATCTGAAGCTTCATGCCCCGAACTCACCCACCACCAAAATCCAATGCCACAACAAAATAACCGGAGCGTGGAGCGATCCACAACTGCATAAAACATACAGCTTAGCTATATCTAGGTCGCTTCTGTACGACATGCAAACATGCTGTCTACATCAGGTTGGTTTCCTAGGCGACTGTGCAACACCTGCACCTGTGTTTACAGAGCTCAAATCTCGAGGATAATGGAGGTGAGCGAGCGAGGAGCAACAAGCGCACAGGGCAAACATTCATTTTCTCCTCACCACTGGAGCCGAATCTGGCTCGGCATCTCGCGGGTTATCTCCCACGACGCATCGCATGTCGTAGTGGACGTCGTGATCTGGCTACTCCTGAAGATTCTCGATCTCCTTCTCGGTAGCCCCCGGGCGTTGCATCGCGCGCTTGTGACGCACCGCCTGGCCCTCGACGCGGGTGACCTTCCACTTGCCCGTGGTGTAATACACGAGGAGCTAATCAGACCATCCTTCTTTAGTGTGCCCGTGTGCCAACGTGATCCGCGTAGGGACATGGAACAAAGACCGAGTGAGATAATGAACTCTGTCTTCTCGCAATGCCATGATGGCGACTCTCTGCGACTTGTCGACCGGTATGCCACGGACGCCTTTGATCAACTCGGATCGGCCCGTGCGCTATGCCACAGCGTCGCGTGGTATGATCGCGATGTCCTTCTGATTCAGCTCCACCATGTCGCGCGCGGTGACAGAACTAGCCGGCAAAACAACATTTTGAGCCGTGCTGCGATCGACTGACCCATCTGCGTGCATCCGATGGCCGAGACCGTCTCCGCATTCGATGAAGAATGCGAAACTCGCGAAGCCTTGCACGCGCTGAAGAACAGCACCTGAGCAGAGCCTCCGACCTCGGACAAATCCTGGTCATCAGCCCACTCAGGAGCAGCGATCCTCAGGCTACCGCGCGTCAACATAAGGAACTTGCCTTCGCACGGGCACCAACTCTTCTTGATGGCGCGACCACAACCGTGGCTGCTGCAAAGCCTCAACGGGAACGACACCCGGCGGTAGCGTAGCCCATCCGTGCTCTTCGTCTTGCGCGCCTTCATGAGTGCGCGATCGGCCATCTTCAAGCGTTGCACTTGAGGGCGCACCATCTCCAAACCTAGAGACACCGCATCATAAACGATATCCACTCTCGTGATACATCGCGATAACAAACTGCATGCCAAGGACCGGACCTGGCGGTGCTCGTGCCCGTCCAACTCCTGGAAATCCTTCTTGGCGTTGAGGGCTTTCGCGAACTTGGCCTCCGGCGGCTTCTCGAGGCAGCGCTGCCCGCGTGCCGGCAAATGTCCCGGTGAGAGCATCTCGCGCCTCGTGCTCAGGTAGACGAATGGACGGCCAGTCGTCTCCGGGCACCCGAACTTCTGCCCGAGCCTCTTGGCAACGTGATCGAGAAACTCCTTTTTCGCCCCCAGCGGAAGGTCGCCCACGCGAATAATGCAGAGCGGCGCCACCTGCCAGCCATTGACGATCATCAAGAAGCAGCCGTCTTGAGTGCTCACCCCGTGGCCGACGTCCAACTTCAGATAGTGTAGCAATGCGAGCTGCCACAACGGCGGAGCGCCCACCAGGCCGTAGAGCGCCTTGAGACATTTGAGGATGAAACGTGAGGTGTCACCATCCAACGCCGTGATCTTGCTTCTCGGGTTGTTCCTCCAGCGCCGCCAGATATTCGCTGGCGGGCGAAGCCATGCTTGACGCGTTTTGTTGACCTCTTGGCCTGACTCCATTGCTTGGGCCACGGCGCCCAATAACTACAAGAACAACAAGTCTGGTAGAAAAGCCGTCGGCACGACGAAGCTCTCAAGAGGCTGGGCGAACTGCATGGCCAGCGAGCAGGGTAGCCGATGACTCAGACGCAATGCCGTCGAAGAGCGACGGCTGACTGACACCTTCTGGCGCTCTAACAACCCAAGACCACAGCGCCTTGACTTGACAATCCGCCTCTGGCGATTCCTCCACTTGCGGACCTGGGTGCCGTCCACGACGTTCGCGGCATCCGTGGACACGTCGATCTCGAACGCATCGCGGCTGTAGAGCGAGACAGCTTCCTTGCAGCCACCGATCTCCACGGCGCCCCAGTTGTCGATCGCCTCCTGCGGCATGAGGAGATCATCTGAAGACTGACAGGCACTGGTCCTCGCGGGTGCCGTAGCAAAAGCACGCGGCCCTTGCCATGGGCCCATCCAGCACTGCAAGCGCCTCGTCTGCTGTCCACGGCGGCTCGCTCTGTTCCGCCTGCTGACTGAAGTGTATGACTTGCAGAGGGTCGGCAATGGCGGGAGTGAAGTGTCCCTCATCGAAGTGGGGCATGATGGCACCAGCTGACGCCACAACGCGTAACGGCTGGCCCGGTCGGCGCTCCGCATGGTGAGCGTCAAGCCACGCCTGGCAGCTGTGCAGCTCGAATTTCTCCTGCCGGTCCCCGTCAACCTTCTCACTTGTTGCCTGGCCGTGGTCGATGGTTTCGTCGTTCTCGGCAGGCTCAGTGGCGGGCGGGACTGGCTCTGTCTGTCGAGGCTGCCGCCCCCGCCGACGCTGCCGCTCCCGAGGGTGCCGACGTCGCTGCGGCGCGAGCCCCTGGAGCCGCTCGATCGTCGAACGGACTTGCCGACGCATCTCGCTTCTGAGGCTGCGCCCTAGCTGGAGTAGGTGATTATGACGTTCGGTGTCGTAGTGATTATTCCTGTGCTTGTCAGTTGTGGTCATCGCGCTGGTCTCGTGGATCTGAAGCAGGTCTATAATCTCTCGTGCGAGAGAGATCTAGCTTTGACTTAATTAGGGGTGGTCCT